ATCAAGATAGGCATTTGGTTTGTTTCTTTTAGCCAATTCTCCGCTACTTTTCCCTTTGAACTACTGATCTAAATATTATATCTTACATCCAGAGCATGACTGGCATCTCTTTTTGTTGAAGGGTCTTGTTAAGCTGTTAGATAGAACAAATTTAGAGGAAGTTTATACTTCAACACCCTCATGTGTATGCCACATTCATATTTTAATGAAAGGCCTGTCACGTTCGTAGTTTCATAAATGGGTGGCAAGGAGACTTAAACACATGAGCTTGTGTGTGCTTTGATATCATATTGAACCACCTCATCTAAAAACTTTAGTTGTTAGACATGGGACACATTTATTTATTTAAATACGTGCAAGCCAAATTTAAATTTTCATGAAGGCTTGATGCTTGAAAATTTCTTAAATGGTTGGCAAGGAGACTTGAACTTGGAACATCAGTATGCTTTTATGTCATGTTAAGCTATCTCATCGAAAAGTTTAAATCATTTTACTTTAATCTTTAACACTCTTGACGTGATAAAGTAAATGTGCAGGTAGCATACTTTGTCGGGGTTCAAATAGACGATAGTTGTAAGAATCAAGAGGAGAATGGGTTGAGTCCACATAGGAGGCAGCTTGGTGTTGTGGGCGCCGTTAAGGTTGCTGTGAGGAGCTTGTCAATGGGTGCCAGCACCTCCTAGATTGTGTATAATTTTCTTTTAGCTGTTCTGTCATTTATACGCTACCCTTTGAATTGTATTTCGTTATAGTTGATTGAAAGCCAAATTTACTTATAAGTTGCCACAGAACTATTGCGAACTGTTTGCAAACAAGGACATTCATTCAAAATTAAGATCTTTGTTTTAGTCACTCTGCCTTTTATTGATGAGGAAATGTGTGAAATTGCACGTCTTTTTCATTCTCGATATCATACTTATTGAAAAGGTTGTTACCGGAATTTGGCTGGGGTTGCATTGTACGGACCAGTACGGTTACTCGGACAGGAAAGAATTTGCATTCTGGTCTTTTTTCAGAGTTGGATTATTATTATTGTTACTAATAGTTTTAGTGTTACAGATATTATGAAGGATAGATCTCCATAACCCCGAGACTTAATTTTCAGTGGTTTTTTTGAATTGGTTGATTTATATGTTAAACCATGGATTGATTGTATTCAGAGTTTTATTTCGACCGCAATCTGTAGTGAAATGAATAAAGTTTAATTTGGTGCAAAAAAAAAAAAAAATTCCCTATGTTGTAAATGTAATTTACTTCATTACTTTAATCCTCCATTTCCTATTAATTACAAATGTTACAATTCTTTTGTAACTCATGAGTGGGTTTTAGCTTGAACAATGCTACATTTACCGTCACCTTTATAGCCTCCTTCACAGTTCACTCACATGGATGTGGCCCCACCCACGTGTGAGAGGACTGTGAAACTCACTTTGAAGGGGGACTGTAGATTTAGCAAAATTATTTTAGCTTTGAGTGTACAAGTTGTAAATGGCAATATATGATATAAGTGAAAAGAATTTATCTACTTGTACATTATG